AGATGCTCCAAACGAAACCTGAACAAGTCAAATTGGGGCTTGATTTTTTTTTTTTTAATTGTTCCTCTTGAGAATAAAAATTAAATAATTTTACATGTATTTTTTAGCAACTGTTATAAATCAATAAACCTACATTTTTACAGAAGTTTGAAGCATTTAAAACAGTATATTAATATTCTGAATATGAGCAAAATCTTCCAAAAACACCACATGACACACAGACAGAATCATGAATAATTTAACTGGAGCTCCGTACAGAGGCCGAGCGTCTTACCCTTTCGTCTGTAGCTGCCTTGGCGCCGTCCTCCGCCGGGCTCTCGGGGACCGGCATCCGGGCCACGTAGAGGCCGTTGAGGGCGGCCATCATCAGCGGCCTCTTCATGGAGTCCACCGACATCTTCTGCCTCTCCAGCGTCTTCAAGAGAGAAGAAAACCCCGGTGTCATGGTTACAGGTACGGGCAGCATGGCAGCACTGACTGACCTGCCATGGCCCGAGCGCAGCCGGCGTGTGCACGAGCAGCAGTGGGTGGGCGGGAATTCGCCGTGCGTTCGTGTGCCGTGTGTGTGCGTTTCCTGTTTGTAGGGCAAACCTGGACGAACCGATCCCCTCCTATTCCGTCTACAGGTGTGAAATAACGAGCTTAAAGCCTATTAGGAAAGACCTGCACCTGCTTATCTGTCTGCTTCCCTTCATCCTTGTTTTCTTCTTCTGATCCTTTCATCTCTTTCTCTACCGCCACCTACCTCTTCGGCCTCCTTGGCTTCACGGAACCCTTTCTGTCATCCCGCCGCCGCCGCCTTCCCTCGTTCCCCAACACTGACCCACATTGCACAGTCCCCTCCTTCCTCCGAGGATTACCTCTCCTAAGCTCTGATGCTATTAAACCTCCAGGACAGCTCCGCCCTTCCCCTCGCCACCTCCCTCATCCCCGGTGGGACGGTCAAAACAACAGCTTGGGGGTCAAAAGGGGGACCCTCCATGTGGACGACAAACCAGCTGGTGTAAATAAGGGTTAACAGCTTCTGGAGCTCTGAGCAACACAGAAACATTTTGGACTAAAAAGAAAAATAAAATCACAGCAGGTGAACCGTGAACAGAAAGGCTTCAGGCGATTATATGATCGAACTCATACCTGGTGCTGCCTCAAATGTTTGCGCCTTAACAGAAAGCTGACCTACACCTAAGAACACCCAACCCAGAGAATAATCTGGAGGGATTTGAGGGGCTTTTAGCTGCCTGGGGGGAATTCAGAGCCTAGTGCTACCCTCTTAGGTGCTGAACCCCAGATTACTGCTAATCAGGAGCTACGGAGCTAGCTAGCAAACAACAGACTGGAACCGTTAAAACTGTACCTCATCGTAGGCTCGTTTGTCCCGCTGCTGACACCAAAATATAAAGTGTGTGTGGATTCACACATTAATTAGCCGTCTGAACCCCAAAACCCACCAAAGAGTATGTTGTTTTTTTTTTTTAATTGGCAAAATGACACCATTCATTAGAGCGAAAGCCTGTAAAAACCGGAAAGAATTATTGAATTTTCCTCTTTTCAATGTCTAAAATCAAAATAACTGCATCCCACTGGTCTGGTTTACAAATTTGCCAGAAAAAGAAGCATTTACACGCAGAAGATTTTGTAAAAATCAAAAGAAAAAGTCATCAGAGACTCGGTCGACGGTCACGAGACAAAACTTCTGCGACTTCTCAGCAGAACTTGGACTGAACTGCAGGAAGTGTTTACAAGGAGCAGGCAGGAGACAATACGGAGACAAGTTAAAAAGGGAAACAGGAAAATATCTGTAGTATGTAGAGGAACCATTTATTGTTCGGTGCTGGTGTCTGTGGGCGCTCGAGTGCAGTTTTTTCCAATTTTTGCAACATAAATAAAAATCCTTGTCGTTATAATATTAAATAACTTTGTCGTATTGCACCACCAGATGTTTCTGACTTCTCTCTGCTGCTGTCCATACATGCGCTGTTTGGTTTGTAGAGTTCAGTGAAAAATGAACCCACAGTGAGAAAAAATGTGTCGGGAACAAAAAATGCTCAGACAATATTTCGGGTTCAAGATGGTTAATAAATGACGTATTATCAGAAACATGTTGGTGTGACTGAAATGTGAGTGTAGGTGTGTAAAGACGTCTCACCCTCTGAGCGAATTCCCTCTCCACGATGCTGTCTTCCAAGGAGAACATCTCTGAGACTGGCCTCTCTTTGACCGGCTCCTTCCTCACCCGCTCCTTCACGCTGGTCAGGTCCGGTTCTGAAATGGAAGGACCTAAAACTCCTCCGTTCACTCCGCTCTGATCCCCTCGGGTCAGCGTCCCACCACCGCCTGCACCACCACCGCCACCAGCAACAGGCCCGCTAACACCCTGGTTCTGCCCAGTTTTGAGGGTGCAGCCGTGGGCTTGGCTTGGGTCCACCGGTCCCTGGTTGCCCTGCGGGCCTTGGTTGTTGTGGTGGTGAGTGTGGTTGTGATTGTGGGCGTGGGTGCGGATTTGAGCGTTGCCAGGTTGTCGAGGAGGTCCGGGGTACTCTGGAGGGGGTTTGTTGGGCAGCTTGGCCAGAGCAGCCTGGAGCTGAGCGCTGATGCTAATGTCCTCGTTGAGGCCCGGGATCTGAACGTCCAGCTCAGGCCTCTCCTCCTCCTCCTCCTCCTCCTCTTCGCTCTCACTACTGTGTATCAGCATGGTAGCATTGGAGAGAGTCTTTTGATGCTGGTAGGCCACCGGTGCAGGTGGCCCAACAGAAGCCTCGGGCGCATTCTGGGCAGGCATCTGCATGGGCAGCTCCATCGGCTGCTGAGGTGGAGGTGGGGGTGGAGGTTGAGGTTGTGACTGAGGGGTCTGTGGCTGGGGCTGAGGGATGGACTGAGGCTGAGATGGCATTACGTGTTCTCTGAGAGTATTCCTCCGATGAAGGGGAGCGTTCATGCTCTTCATCACCAGGCCCTCCATCCCTCCTCCTCCTCCTCCTCCTCCTCCCCCTCCTCCTCCTCGCATGCTGCTGATCACCTCCATGCTGTGCCTCTTGCCCAGGGTGGAGCGGTGCTTAGCAGCGGCAGTTAAAGGCTCGCTAACCTCCTGCAGGGACTGGTGCACCACGGCCGAGCTGTCCGGCTGGAAGGTCTTGACTGACAGCTGCACCATGCGGGTGACCAGCTCCGGACTGCTGCCCCCGATGCAGCGATGCCGGTGGCTGGCCAGGTCCGGCGTGCTGGTGGCTGGGCGGAAGGAGCTGGAGGGGTAAGGCGGAGGAGGGCGCGACATGTGGTTCCTCAGCATGTTAGCCGTGGCCGCGTAGCTTCCCATGTTGGTCCCCTGCTGTTTGGTGTTGGCCAGCTCAGGCGTGCTGACAGTATGAGAGATGGAGCTTCCTACACCTCCTCCGCCGCCTGCACTTCCGTTCACACAGGGGGAGTGACAGGGGCCCTGGCTGCTGGCTGGTCCTCCCTGATGGGGGCCGTGGGACACCGGCTTACTGTAGCTGATCTGCAAAACAGAGAGTCATGTGTGAGACGTATCAAACCAAGAAGCTTAAAAACCAATCAAACACAGAGTCATGTATGAGACGTATCAAACCAAGAAGCTTAGAAACCAATCAAACACAGAGCTCGTCCCTCTACCTGCGGTGTGTACGGTCCAGGACTGGGGCCCAGACCGTGATAAGGGCCCCTCTCCCTCATCTCTGGCTGGCTGTACACCAGAGCCTCAGGCTGCCGGTACGCACAGGCGTTGCTGATGTTCAGACTGCGCAGCGATTGGCTGTGGAAGTCGTGGTGAGCAGGCAGCATGCGCCGCTTCTGCCGCATGACGGTGTCGTACTCGGGGGTGGGCCGGTAGGATGGAGCGATGATGGCGCTGTGGCGGTGGCTGGGGATGTAGTCGGGGCGCATGAGCTCGCTGCCGGGGATGCTGAGGTTGGACGACATGGGCGAGGGCGGGACAAAAGTCTGGGATCGATTGAGGGAGCTCAGGCTGGGGCTGCTGTACATGCTGCCGTTGGCCACGGTACCGTTTCGGAAGGGAAAGTCCACCTGGCAGATCTCCAGACTGGTCTCTGACTTGTAGTACGGGTCGTCATGGAAGATGCTGTCTACAGAGCGAAGAGAGGACGAAGAATAAAAAGAGGAACGATTACATCCGACTTACAAATAGCTTCAAACCATTTATGCAGGATATTGATTTAACCATCTGAACTACAAAAAGATTGAAAGTTATCTTTAAAAAAAATCTGAAATTAGACAATTTATCAGAAACTATATGATGGTTCTTGAACTAACTAACAAGAACCATTTATTCTACATGCCTCAGTTTTTAAAAATAGCCCCAAAAAATTAACTCTACACTCCTACGGGATTTTATATCATGTGACAAAACTGCAGGTTGTGTTGGAGTTCAACTGTTTTTTTAGCTGTTATAAATGCTTAAGAAATAAAGAGTGTTCGTGGCACCCTTCAGCAAAAATGATCATCGTTGGTTTCTGGTTTCACAGCAGCGCCAGCCACCTATGAACAACCAGTGAGAATGTTGTTCCCTTTTTTTACTGAGCCGCTCTCGTGTGAAACTATCTCATGCCCACAAGAAGGCAGACACACATAATCTCAGTCCGGAGTCGATGCCTGAGGTCACACTCCGGAGTGATCTCACACCCACACAGAGCAGCACACCCAAAATGTTTTTCCACTCGCTCCGGCTTTTATTGTCGAGCCGACATCAGTGAAGCTCCTCGGATTATAAGGCAGCCCGAGTGTGTGAAAAAGTCAATGAAAGAGCGGAGCACAAATGAGGTCACCCCAAACGTCGGGCTCTAATTGGCTGGGAGATTGTTAAAATACAAACGGGCTGTGAGTCACACGCCTGATGGGAAAGACACAATTAGCCAAAGTCGAATGTTTGAGTTATTGTCAATGTGGTGGAAAGGCAAAAAGCGAGACGGAGGGCGGTGAAGCTCGGCGTGTTTGTGAGTGTCGGAGGTTCACACGTACCTTGAGAGCTCTGGGTGTCCTGATAATGTTCTCCATACTGGGAATGCACCGACTGGAAGTTACAGGACTGGGGCCGCGGCTGGATGGAGACATACGTTTAGTGCAACACAGTTAAAACGTGGCATTGTTAGCTTTTCTAATTAAGCCGTAGAACCTCAAAACGTACTGAAAAGTCATTAAAAACCACCAAAAGTACGCCGTCTATCAGATCCAGTTAAAATACAAAGAATCATCAACTTTTTTGACAGTCCTTGAACTTTTCGTTTGGAAAACAAAATCCTTTTATTCTACATGGATCAATTCAAAAGTCACCAAAAAAATGCATTATCAGATTCTGTCAAAAAAATAAAAAATAAACGAAATTCTGCACTCTTTGGCAGAACCGTGAAGCCATTAACAACAACCACCAGCGCTGTGACTAAAAATCAGGGACTTCTCAGCTGAACTGGGTTGAACTGCAGGAGGTGTTAACACAGAGCAGGAGACAAGTCCATTCATCCATTATCTACACACCGCTTAATCCTCACTACAATCACCAATTAACCTCAGCATGTTTCTGGACTTTGTGGGAGGAAGCCGGAGAACCCGGAGAGAACCCACGCTGCACGGGGAGAACATGGAGACTCCACACAGAAAGATCCCGGGTGATGCGAACCGGCGACCTTCTAGCTACGAGGCAACGGTGCTAACCACCGAGCCACCTTGCAGCCCCAGGAGACAAGCATGGAAGCAAATTAAAAAAGCAAAAAGTACAGTATTAATAGTATGTAGAGCCAACGTTTTGTTTTCCAGTATAGGTAGCCCCCCTTTTGGGAATTTGGATTCCAGGTTTGTTCCATTTTTGTAGAAGAAAATATTCAATGAAATTCATTTTTTTCTTTATGATGTATGGCGTTATAACTTCATCTCATTGTACCGAAGACATTTCTGAGTTGGCTCCACTTCTAGCCGTGGCTGTCCTGTCTCCATCGAGGTGCAGGACTTCATATTGCAGTGGTGAGTAAAAATATAGCCGGAGCTGAAACGCCAAGAAGCAGCTCCGGGTTCAGAGGGTTGTTTTTTTATTGCATCACTTCCTTATCACGTCTACACTACAGGTGACTGCCACCGACTCAGGTGTTTGCCATGCCCATGGGTTTGCAAACACTCGCAGCTCTCCAGACAGTCATCTGAGCTCTCCAGTGGCCGCACTGAACATCCATTGTGCCACATTTAGCCTCACCATTGTCTGGCCAGCAGGGAGGGAAAAAAAATCACTGCCTTCATTGTCGCACCGGAAATCAGACCAAGCAACACCCTTTGCTAACTTTCCAACAACACCCACCACACCACCAACACACGTTAAAAACCGAGGCTCCACGGCAACAATTAGGAGCTGCCCTGAGTGGGAGAGCGGGATCGGACCGCGAACCGTGGCCATTCCCTCCCAAATCCTCCCTCTTCATCCCGGCTTCTCGTCTCATTTATGCAGACCAGAGGGCCGCAATAAAAAACCCACTTCAAAGCAAAACAAGCCACTTGGTCGCCGTACCAGAGAGAGGCGGTGGGTCCAGGTGGGTCTCCTCCTGATGGGCGCTGGCGAGTGAGTGGGCCTGCAGAGGAACGGTGACAAAAACAGAAGATGACTCACTGGATCATCTATTCAGGATGATCTTTTATATAATTTGTTGTTTCGCACAACCTTCGAAAGGTTGCCGAACTCCACTTTAAAAAGCTTAAAGTGACTGGATGTGTTAGTGGCCTTCGTCTGGCCTCGAGACTCACTCTGCACAGATCTTGTTCTGTTTGTAGAACTTGTGTCTGGCCGTGAAAAGACGAGAAATGTACTTGGCCATTTCCATATCCTCCTGCGGATGCAAACACAAGAGAGAAAAACAGCGATTATTTTCAGCTTTCTGGATCTGCCCCTGCGCTTCGTCTCTTTGCTTTTGTGTTTAAATTCCCACTATAAACCTTGTGCGTGTGTGTGTGTGTGTGTGAGCGGCAGACACAACACTCACCATGTGAAAAGCGATGGTGTCGTCTCGGTTCGTTATCTCCACTGTGATGGCTGCCTTGTTGTGCGCGATGGTGCCGATGTCCTTCCACCTGTCACGCACACACAGAGACAAGAGTTGGGGGATTTTCTCAGGAACATTTTCCTGCATTCGTTTGTGTTTGCAACGGGGACAAAGTCACTACAGAATGAGGAGCGTCTTACTTGTGGAGCATGATGGATCGGCCGTTCCTGTGTTTGACAAACACGCCGATGAAAGACACGCCGATGAAGATATCGTTGGTGTAGTTGTCCTGCGGAGAGATCAAAGAATGAGTTTTCTAGTTTACTTTATAGAGCTGTAATAAAGCTAAGGGCGATAAAATAAAACACATGAAAAGCAGCTGCCAGCCAAACAGCAGGCTGCTCCTGTTTAATTGTATTAATTTCTGATTCTCATAAAAGAGTTTCGATTAACGAGCTACATTCGAACAAAACAAGCGTAATGACAAAGAAACGTGTCCCCGACCAGCTCTGCGAATGTGCTGAGAGGTCCGGAGCAGCGAGTAAACACATTAAGAAACGCATTTATAGCACAGAGGGCATCCTCATCAGAAGGGCTGCTGTGGAAACCATCAGTCCACACAGACGTTTATGTGTTTCCTGAATGAAGAAGGTAATGAATTATCTACAGCAGAACACGACAGGAGAGGGGTATGATCTGAGTCATGCGATTCACATGTTTTATCGCCGAGCAGCTTTTAGCTTCTGTTGCATTTTAACTCACTGAAGTCCTGCACCCCGAGGAAAACACCATGAGCAGAAGTAGACAGAACTGTTTTTTGTGTAGCAGACACAGCTAAGATGCCATGAATGTATTTTATTATTATCATATTACAAAAATGGGAATAAAAACTCAACAGATTTCCTCTAAGCCTCCGTCTGGTTTTCCTACATGCGTTCTAAATGTGCTTCTATCTCCGTTTCCTATCTGCTCTGTGGAAATACAGGCTGCCCTTCCACCAGAAAGTCCCTGCATTTTTGTCTTGTGACCAGCTGAGTCACCAACTGCTTCACAGTTGTGCCGAGAAGCGCACGAGTTTTTGCTTTTATAGAATACGGTGACAGAAACGGGTTTTATCTTTTTAAACAAGGCGTGAGGAAAACAGCGATGTGGAAGAAATATGGTGATTTTTAAGCTTAGATTTGGATCATTTTTCAGACGGTTCTGTGCGTCAGATGAGCAATTTGGCTCTTCCTGTTTTTTTACAGTCTGGTTCTGGTGAATTGTGTAATTTTGGTGACTTCTTTTTTTAAAGATAACATTCCTTTCAACTTCGCTGGCAGGTTTTTGGGTTTAGAAAGTTAGAAGTCCTCCTTAAAATAACCTTTTTGAGTAAGAGTGTATCATAATCTGATAAAAATAAATAGATAAACCAACATTGTGACATGTCTAGATAAATCTTAATGTGAAGGTGTAATGATTCTTAATTACACGTACTGATCAGTCGGCTTTAAATATTAATAGATGCACAAAAACCCAAACTGTCCTTCAAAACACTTCTCTGCATTTTTACAGCTGGGCAGATAAAAGATGCAATGATGAAGCTCAGTGGATGTGACTCAACGTTGGTATTTATTTGGTGCCAGAAGTCACTTTTTTTTTCTCTGTGGAGGGCAAACCCCTGGATCTCCTCCTTTGGAAAGTCCTGTGTGACGTATTTACCTTAGCAGCAAAGCTCTCCTGGCCGAAGCCGTCCAGTTTTTCTACCTCCTTGATGTACAGCAGCTCTGCTTCAGCGGCCTGCATCCGACTGTAAAGGACAGACGGAGATGTTACCGCACATATACTTGTTGTGCACATTTTAAAATGGTACAAAATGCAGCCGACCGTACCAGTGACTCTTGTGCTCCTCGGCGACTTTCTGGGTCCAGTCTTCCAGCACCTTGTCCACATTTGGCCAGTTCTGAGAGAAGACAGAAAAACAAGAGGGACGAAGACAAAACAGCAAGGATCAATGACGAGCAATGTGCTTTGTACGTCGTGTAACAAGATAGATTCTGATTCAGATTGTGTTCGTCGTGTTTTCTGCCTGTCAGTCAGGTATGCGGAGGGAGGAGGAACACAGATGACAGAGGAATGTGTGCCTTCAGGCTGCACGGAGACGCACAAAAACACAAGTCGTGTTTGAAGAGTGAAGGTCTGAGGACTCACCACTGGGAAGAGCACGTACTCCCTGAGGAAGTCCTGAGAGCGGAACTG